CCGAAAATTCTGGACTGTCTGTAACAATTTTAAATTTGTTTGAGAAGTATTACTCCAAACGCATGAGCAATAAAATAGTTTACCGAAAACAAGTGTGGCTACCATTTTAATTCCGTTTCGTTATTTTCATTTCCGGTTGTTTCGTTACGTAATATCACGTGAGTTATTCCCACGTGCTTTTAGATTTTGAAGTCGCTTGTTACGTATGTTGTAGTTCTGGTATGGGTCGCTGTATTCCCAATCAGGGTAAAACAGTTCTTTAACGTGCTTAAGGCACGTTTTTTATTAAAATAAGCCGCAAAGGTAATACATCTACTCTGTTCTGCTTCACAAAACTGTGCTCCGCATACACTGGAACATCCCAGAAGGCCTTTGCCTTTAGACTGGTTTAGGATCTACGGACGAGCACCAGGGGGGGACCGCATCTATTAGTTCCAAATCCCTCAGCTTCTCGATAAACAAGACCTTGAGGGCCGCGTCGTGTCTCGACAAGTACTTATTATTATTATTATTATTATTATTATAATTATTATTACGCGCTGCGTATGACTATAATAATTGTGACGGTGAAATCGCAGCTGCCGAGGGAGCCATTGACATTGTTTAATGATTTTTAGCAGCCTTGTATATAGGGTTCTAGATTTGCCATTCACCTTTCTCTTTTCTGTATAGTTTTAGATATGCTTTTACTTATCAAATTATCAGATTTTCTAATCAAAATAACAGTGAAATATTAGAAGACGGTAGACATTGACGGACTGCCACACTAGGAGTCAAAATCGTCTGTGCCCCTTTCGGTAGACAGAGGATCAAAAGGTCCACCCACATACCATTCATAAGTTGCTTTTGAGACATTTTTGAAAGAAACAGGTGTTTTTACTTGATTTAAAAAGTCCCGCGTCTTTAACGCCAAGAGATTCTGGCGACGAGAACCTGTGTAAAGCTTTACATTCGCTTAAGGAAAATAGTCTTCCACAGAACAACCAGAGATTCGGCTGACGGTGGTGGGAAATCTTCAGAAAAGAGAGGCAAACAAGCGAACACAATTATTAACTCTCGTTTCTGGGTTAGAGCTGGGCTAAACGTATTCAGTCTGTCGAAGGTTATGTCATATAAGTTATCACATAAAAAGGCGTGAGTTTCAGGCGAAAAATTCTAAACTCTTGTCATCACGCTGACGTTCGTAAGGCCATCACGCTGACGTTCGTAATTTTAACAGAAGAAAGAAGTTAAAACTAAATAAATTCGTAGAAAATTTGAGATATCGACGGTGATTTAACCTGCAGGGCTGGCTTGATTTTGGGGGAGGGAGGGGGTGGATTTTTGACACGGGCATAATGGTATTGTTGACTTAAGTGGTATCGGAAATCTGTGGGTTATGGGTTCATCCAGGGCAGAAACTTTGGTCGGTTCTTCAAACGAAAATGGGGGCACGGTGTACTGGCGCAAGTCTCTGAAACCTTGGCAACTAGAAATTTGTTTTCACATCACGTGCAGCATTTCTAAAGATGTCTGGTATGCGCTGGAGTCAAACACTTCCGCTATTAAACATTCCAGTGAATAATTGACTGCTTCATCAGACTAGTTTTATAAACTGAACAGACCAACATACTAGATCACAAAAGGTACGAATTTACTGAATTCGAAAATCATCTGGAAGCTTTTACGTAAGGATTGTATAAATTAATTTGTAAAAGAGAAGAAAGATTTCGCCTTGAATCAAGTAAGTGAAATGGTAGTGTCAGATGTAATTGAGATAGGGCAAAATTGCTAAATTGTCAACCAAATGGGTGATCGAGAGATCGTGCTTTGAGGAGATTATTGTCTTGATTTATAACTGACTTCTCAAAACCGAATCAAAAGAAAATGTAAGGCTGTTCAGAATGAAAATTAATCTCTACATACTTTTAGCCGGAATTCGGCAAGTTTTCATTTGTGACTTGGAGGTGGTATCGGGTAACTTTTAAGCTTAAAATGCTGAGTCTTCTGCGCTTTAGCAAGCTAACAGTATTTCTCTTTACAACAGTTCGATTTGCAGGAAATATCTATTTTCCCTCTCGTTTGTTTTTATTATCATTTTTTGGTCGTTAGCCATGTTGGGTATGATGGTTTCATTCCTTTAAAGTTCACTGTGAAAGCAGTGATACAAGATTGTGAACAAATGGTAAATCGACCGACATCCGCTTTGCAGATATATTTGGACACTGAATACTAAGACGGTACGTTTAAATTTGGGAACACCTACGGCACTTGACAAACAATCTCTGAGGAAATAACTAAGATTATGTTTTATTATAGCAATTTCAGTATTATTTTAGTTTTGACGGTAGTGCCCTTTAGTCAGTGATACAATGAGTAGGTAACATTGTCATAATCTTTGGGTGGTTCTAAGGGCGTCATTTGTTTTTTTGGCTTTTAATTAATTGACAAGAATAATGTAGCTTTGAAAAAATTCTTGTGTTTATGGTGTAGCAGGTTTGGCGCGATAGGCACGAGGCACAGAGAGAATATATGGCGCGTAATAACGGACGGAATGATTGGCCTTACTGATACCATCACTCAGAAACAAGTATGAACACAGGTGTAGCTCAAGCTTGAGAAACAAATGACCAATTTTCGTCGTATTTTTTGTTTCATGAGGTTTCCACCATATTCCGGGCCATCTCAATGTCCTCCCTTCCGTTTCTCTTTGGGGTAGAGGGTACGGCTACGTGTACGGCTCTTCTATTCACGAGAGACCAAACTTTAAAGTCCTTTTAAGGTTTCTCACCACCCAATAAAGAATAATTTTGTTTCGTTTAACAAAGACATATAACGTAACAAGATTCATCACAATATATACTCAGCAGGCCATTATTATTGCACAATGATCAGAAAACCAGCTGTCGTGGGATTGTATCATTTATTTCTGCCAAGTGACTACTTGTTGTTCAAAACAGACATTTTTAGTAATGAATCGGATGAGAAAAAACTTTTTTTTTTCTTGCAAGGTTAGTCATAATTTTTTTTCTCCATCGATGGTAAGTTTTATGATCTGAGACTCCGATTTTTTAAGGAATTTTTTATTCCTATCCTATTTATAGTTTTAGTTTATCTCCAGAAAGCTAACCTAGATTTGAATTCGATGTATTTTACATGGGTCAAGATTGCTGACTGAATTTTTGTGATTCATAAGTTTACTTTGACTGAGCTGAGTTTCTCAGAGTTTCCTGTTTGTGCTTTGGTCGGAGAAGAGAATTTCGAGGGTTCTTAACATACCGTACTCAGAATGCATTATTCAACGTTTTCGCACCTTTACAATTGTCTTTTGCCCGCAAAACTGCCATTTAAAGGATATTTTGAAATTTTCTAGGGAGTTTGACCTTTTTATAAGAATTGTTTTTTCAAAATTGTTTTTCACTACAAGTTCTGACAAGTTATCATTGCAATTTTTTTCTCTGAAAAGCTTCAATTCTTTAGAAACTTTCTTAGCGTGTGCAGGGTATTGTGTAGAACAAAAGAATCAGTCAGAAGTAAACAGGACGATTGGAAATTATTTCCTCTGCCAGAACTGAACGAACCAACATATAAATGCCACTGGCTTTGCGTAATATGATTAAATTGTATGTAGATTTAGTGTATCAGCTCAGATACGAAGTGAAGCACGGGAAAAGAAGTCATCAAAGAAAATTTTCGTAGGCATGCATCACAGGAGGATATGTCAATAGAAACGCAAAACTTTGTGAAGGCAATTCAGACATGCTAATTTAGTTAGAAGTTTGCAGCTGTACTAATGCTGTTTTCGTCAGCGTGAATCAATTGCTCTAATGAAAAAAAATACAAACACTTTTGTAGTGATCTTCCTGTTTGGTTTTATTTATCAATTGTATTCATCAATGCTGCACCATCATTTCTGTGGGCGATGTGCATCCTTCTTGTATCAGGTGTTTTACTCGTTACTTCGTCGTTCAGTTAGTCACCTTCGTTCAGGTAAACATTCAGGTAAGCACTTTCAGGTGTTAGGTGACGAATTTCTCTTTTTATGATTTTCACTTCATATCAAAGTAGCGTGGTGACAAAAGTGACAAGGACTCTTTTCGGATTGAGGGCCGTAAATTACTTGCGGCTTTGTTTCTCCTGCGAAACTCATTTTTGCGGTCGTGGACAACAAGAAAAATTTAAAAAAAAGAGTTTCGTAGAACACAGTGATAAAAACTGATGGTAGATGGATGATAGGGCTCCTTCAGTGATGAAAACTGATGGTAGATAGATGATAGGGCTCCTTCAAACGATGCCGACTACACTGCTGGCCTCAATTCTCATATTTAGTGTTACAAATCAGACACAACAAAATGACATCTAAGATTAATACTACACATCAGTTGCTGTAGTCTAGCTACGTAATCAGCTAAAATAGGACGGATGAAGGAAATTTATGGATATTATCATAATTTCAGTATGATCTAAACCATGCTTTTACTTTGTCTTATCCAGGTAACGTTTCTTCTATTTGTGGCATCACACAACCTTCTTGGTCCATCGGGTAACTTCTTGGTCAAAGCAGGTGAAATTTACGAACTACTAAATAGGCAACCTCTTTATGTGCATTAAGTTAAAACGTCGGACAAAGAGAAGAAAGGCTTAATAGATACTACCATGTTTTAGAAAAAATAATCTTTTAGGATTGTTACTGTAGCTGAAACAATCCGACACTTTTAAACGTTAGTAGAATGGAAAAATTTTAGACACTCTGAAAATCTTATAGCCGTAAGAAAGTAGCTGCCGTCGATTTTTATCTAATTTGATCTCATCTTATTAATTCTTGTTACTCTATCTCCAGTAGACGAATCTCATTTTGTCTTTTTTCGTTTCGTTTCTTCCTTGGTTTTGTTTCAATAGTGATTATTTGATCCTTCTTCGTTTCGTCCTGTGTAGTCTTCTCTCGCTTCACTTTCTCCAGAATGAAACGGAAAACTGAACAGTTAGCTTTATTTCATTTCATCTTGTTTAATATCACTCCATGTCATCTCATCGCTTTGTCGTTGTCAATGTTATTGCACTTTCAATGTTATTTTCGTGTTTCTTCTTTTCAGATTCCTATAAAAAATGGACCTTAAATGATAACGACAACAAGATCGAAAAGGTGGGGAACGTAAAATCGGAGCCATCACCGGTAGGGTGGGGTGTCTACCTTGATGGATCATCAAACACCTACGTTAAACTAGATGGCTACGATAAGCAATGTCTAGGGAATCCTTCAGAATGTGACTTTACCATCGGATTTTTTATGAAGTTATTTCCCAAATCCGGAGTGCAGTTTTACTTTGGGAATAAAGTGGACGGACTTTTGTACGAAGGTGTAAACATATACCAAAATGGCAGTTTAAGAGTAGAAGTTTTAGGGAAGACTACTTACTGCACACGCGTCATAAAGCCACCTCAGGGTGTATGGTTTTATCTGGGGATCGTTTGGAACAAGGTAGGAACCTTGGGCGTGTATTATGACTCCTGGTTTGGCCATTCTGTCCATTCCCGCTGTGGAAGTAATTTCAAAGAACTAGTGAAGAAAGACGCGTACCACCTAGGCAGATACACGTACCCTACTGCGTACTATGACAATTTAGAGATTTGGTACTCTGCACAGTCTAGAAGTGTTTTTGATGCGAGGTGGAAAGAAGCATTTGGTAAGTTTGCTATCGTGCGTCAACTCATAATTCACATTAATGTCATTGCATTTATCCTCTTTAATTTGACATTCAAACAAAACTGCAGACGTTCTGATGGGAAAGAGTCAAACATAGATTGGTGCAGCGGTCTGGCTTATGAGTTGTAGTTATGACATGCTAAAAACTGAGATTAAAATTATAGACTTTTTAACTAAAATCTTAGATTAATTTATTAGATTATTGTTGGAAGAATATGAATATAAAGTAGAATGGATAAGCACAACTGAAGACGACATAAAAAGTCGAGTGCGTGAGCCCTGATCAAGCAAAAAAGTAAGGAACAAAGGGTGCTTTTTTTTGTTTATGTGGCCGTGGCTTTGAAAATGAAAGAATACCTGTCAAGCCATTTTCAGCTCATAGCTTACCATTAAGGAATTAAATTTGACTCAGCCTTTTTAAGAATAAAAGAATTTCCACTCCATAGGTGTTTTACCGCTGTATAAGAAATCACCAAACTGCTTTAGTTTACCTTTGTCTTCACAGATGGCAGTGGACAATATACGGTTATGAAATTGACCATTATCTTCCCTGAACTGCTCTACAGTGCTGGTAACGTTGATCAGGACGAGTTTTTCAACAAAGTAAGAAATGTTGTGGTACAATAATTCATTCTTATACATAATAAAGAAAGAAAAAGCTTGAAAGGGAGGAGTCTAGAGTTAAACTTTCCTGGCGAGTAGCCTCGTCAATCTTCGCTCCATTATGATTTTTGTTGCCTGCAGAACAGGCCTCAGTTTTGCGTGTTCAGGCAAAACAAGGGAAAGAGTTAGCCACACACAAGAGGAGAAGCACGCGACTCTTACTTACCTTTGTAACTGATAAAATCCTGTTCTACAGGAAAGTGATTCCAAAACAGTCGAAGTTCTGCTGTCTGGAAAATGACTCCCATGCACTCATGACGTTCCTTGCGTTTTGAAAAAAATCATTCAGTTCTTCATGTGAATTAGTATTTTAATTCAAACTCAGTTGCTTGCCTTTTCTCAATACAGATTAAGGATTTGTTCATTAACGACACGCATTTTCGAGACGCCACGGACGTCTCAGTTTCACAAAGGTAACCTTTCTTTTTTAAAGCTTCTTTCCATAAACAATTTAGTTTTTTAACACTAAGACAGTTGCCTGCGTGCAGACGTCTCCTATTTCCTTTGTTGCACGCGGAAATTGGACGTCTGCATAACGCCGTTGCTATTCGTTTTCCAGTGTCCCGCTCATTTAATCACTTTCACCAGAGTATGGTGAGGGTCGCGCAACAGAGCGAGGCTCCAAATTAAGTGCGCCCAATATCCCACCCATCCCACCCCAGGGGAGGACATCCATCACACAGTAATCTCGTGTGTGGGAAATTAACGTCTCCTACCCCAACCCTGCAGGAGACGGGACCTCCATTTATTCGTCCCTATCCGAGAAGACTAGAATATCTAACCATTTCTTGATGTTATAGAAAGGTAACAAATTCTTCTATTATTTTAAGACCCTGAGTGTTGGTCCCGCCGGGGCTCGAACCCTCGACCTCCCGCACAACAGTCCAGCGCTCTATCCATTGAGCTAACCGGGATGCGCTCGGTTACTAAGATCTTGGGAACAGGCTGTGTTAGGCTGACTAACAATGGCAGTTGTTTGGCTAAAACGCTAGTTGGTTATTATCAAATCTGACTGATAATGTCTGCGGTGATTCATGTAAGCGGGGTTTTCCAGCCAAATAAAAGAAAAAACATGTGCAATGGTGTACTGTGTTTTTTGTCGATCGAAAATCAGAGCGATCGAAATCTTGCGCGAGGCCGCGAAAAATTTAACATGTACGAAGAAATTATTTCTTTACAATTTACTGTGTATGATACATCACATCATATTTGTAAATAGTGTCTGAGAAAACTGCAACAACGGCGTGGACTTCGCACCAACTTACGAGAAATCGACGAAGAAATATTTCTAAGCTACAGTTCCAAAGCGTACAAGGCAGGGCTTTTTATCAAGAAAAAGGCCGTACAGGCACATGATATAACTCCAGAAGAGTCTGTTTCTCCTGAAAAGAGAATTCTTTAAGCGGAATTACGCGTCGAAAGTCTGTGGCTCGATTCATTCTTCAACGCCTGTGAAAAACGTTAATCCCACATTTAACGTTATTTCCAACTTTTCTTCAGTTGGACCCGCAATCATTTGTGAACGAACTCAGATAAAAGTAAAACTGTTGTACAATAAAGGATCAGTGGCCAAGCAAGGTAAAAGTAAACACGCTGCCCGAAGGTTTGGAAAGCTTGGGAAAGATATTATTTCATAATTTACGCGAAATTGAATACCCTGTCAGCGGGAAGCTGGAACACACTTAGGGACGGCGTTACGCAGACGTCCCTTTTCCGCGTGAAACAAAGGAAATAGGAGACGTCAGCACGCAGGCATAGCTTACCCTTAACATCAGGCTTAATTTACTTAGTTGTCGGTAAATTCATCATTTAAATTATCTAATGTTGTATTTTCACACTTTCTCTTGGGATGCAGTGATGACCGTGCCACAGCGGTATCATTGACTTTGGAATTTAATCGCACTCAAAACCTTTGGGAATCCATCCTGACTTTTCAGCTTGCAATGGAGAATGGTGCTCTTCTTGGGTCTCCTGGCATGTTTGATGAGGCTTCTTGTCGGAACACTGATGATAGCCATTGTGAGTATGCATTATGCACTGGTGGTAGTGCGGGAAGCTAACAAGCAAAGCAACTAGTTAATTTAGCTTTCCAGGTTGTTAGCTACAAAAGTCGTGTTTTAATTAATTGAACTATCAAATGAGTACAATAAATAATAATGTCATTACTTTGGTCTGCTTCTTATTACTCTAATCCGACGAAAAAGAAAGCGCTTTGTTTTCTTGCCGACGTAGGCTATCATTTACCCTAACGGTTTAGACAGATTTTCAAAAAATTCCCACGATAATGAAGAAATGCGAAAACACCGGTGGGGTGAAGTAAAGAGAACTGCCACAAAATCATTCATCATCCTAACGCCCTTGATCAACGTAGCAATCGGTCCCAAATTTCTCCTAAGACAATTCTCTGGTCAAGATCTGCGGCTCTTCATTTTAATATTTAGGTGGACTAGAGCGGACTGTGCAAGATGTTTTTTTAAAATATAGTAAGGGTCGAAATTTTCTGCCTTTTTCTGGGCGAGTACTTCTTTTTTTAAGTGGAACTGTTTTTGACGAATCAGTAAAGACAGTGCTTAGCTACATTTGACAATGTATGGTAAATCCAAGGTATCCTTTTCTAGACTCAATTTATCCTATGTAAAAAAGATAATAATAATAATACTACATAATACATAATATACATAATATAATAATAATAATAATGAAACACAGTATTAGGCTAATAATACAATCGGTCTCAACTTTCTCTCATGACAATTTTCTGGTCAAGATCTGCGGCTCTTCATTTTAATATTTAGGTGGACTAGAGCGGACTGTGCAAGATGTTTTTTTTTAATATAGTAAGGGTTGAAATTTTCTGCCTTTTTCTGGGCGAGTACTTCGTATTTTAAGTTGAACTTTTTTTGACGAATAAGTAAAAACAGTGCTTAGCTACATTTAACAATGTATGGTAAATCCAAGGTGTTCTTTTCTAGACACAATTTATCCTATGTAAAAAAGACAATAATACTAAATCTGAGCTATTTTCTACATTTTGCAGTTTTTTGCGAGATACCTGCAAACTTTACCATATCAAAGGTCACAGCATCCACAGCAAAATTAATATTCGAGCAGGTTTCCGTTGAACCACACGAAAACTATTTCTTCGGGTACAGAGTCATATACAAAAATCTGGATGATCCCAACTCAAAGTGGACCATTAAAGACAATGTTCGGCGCTATTTGCCACCGAAACCCATACAGCACCAGATTTCCTCACTTAAATCCTATACGAATTACAGCTTTCGTGTCTATGCAGCATCCTTCAAGTCTGCTGGCCTCATTTCGGAAGCTATCGAAGTGAGGACAGATGAGTCAAGTAGGTTGCTGATGGTAAAATTATTTAAATCACAGAAGCTATGAAATTTGATTTACAAAGAATATATGAAAATCATATATTTGAACTGCTGTTAGAGAAACGCATATGAGAACGATCTTCGCAGTGAGGAGCACTATTTAAGCAATAGTGAAATTAATACCTGAAAAAATTTTAGACCTGTACGGGATTCGAACCCGTGACCTCATGCTAATTTTTCACGTCTTAATTTCACTATTGCTTAAATAGTGTTCCTCACTGCGAAGATCGTTCTCGTACGCGAAATTTGATTTGTTGTCCAATATACTAAACTGCATTTCCACTGTAAAATTTTCTTTCAAAGAAGCACTTGTCAGTAAAAAGGTGTTAGAGATATAAATTAGAAAGAGTTCGGCTCTACATGCCGCCATAATTGAAGTTAACTCAATGTCAGGCCCGAACGAATCTAACGTCCAAGAATTAGTTTACACACACCTGCTGCTCAAGGTGCGAAACAGAGCATTATTTTACTCTAGAATACTAATTTTGTGTAGCTTGAATTGATTTAAACAAAGCTCGAAAAAATGAGAAAGAGAGCAGTAAGATTTCGGAGCAACGCAGCGTTCAAATGATTGCGCACGCGCACTTAGATGGACAATTTGCTATTGTAAACATGGAAAGTCTTAGTGAGACGTACTTTTTCACAGTTTCTAGAGGTCTTTCTAAAGAAAGTTCGAAGTTTCAAAGACCGAGACTTATACGCATTGTTATTCAAGACTTCACCCACTTTTTGTTGGTTTTCACTCTCGTATTTTTTTTTTTTTTTTCACGCTTTCCACAACAAACTGTCGTGCGTGCGCAGTGATTGACCGCTGTGTTCTTCGAAGCATCACGGGTAAGCGACTAGATTGCTAAGCAAGGTTCCATATAGCGGCGTTCATGGTCGAATTTTCTCACACACTTGATCATAATTTACTTTTTTGAGTCTCAAAACGCGTTAGGTAAAGTGCGAGGTTGCGCTCAGTAGGTGTTGACCGTCCCTTTCTATAGACCACTTTCCTAAATGGCTGCCGTATAAATATTCTTTTGTTTAAATTTAAATTAGCCCTACTGGCCTCGCTTGAGATAATGTATTCTTTTGAATTTTGTACTGGAGAACGAGGCCAGTAGGGCTAATTTAAATTTAAACAAAAGAATATTAATCTGGCAGCCATTTATGAAAGTGGTCCATGACGAGTGAACAGAGCGATTCACTTGATTTTACTGAAGCATCATCCTAGACTAAATATTTTCATTTTCATAACGCCTAGCTCCTAGCGTTGGTCCAGACATTGTTACCAGCCAAAGCACCAGCTCCACTTCAATCTATGTGCAATGGAGCCACACAATTTCAGCTAATAAAGTCAATGGCGTTTTGATCGGTTACAGCGTCAAATGGAATGACGAACATTTTCACCATGGTCACCCTTACAGCTCAAAGGGTATCAAACATCTGGGACTTAACGCCACAAATTTCACCATCATCTCACTTCACGAATACTGGCCTTATACAATTTCGGTATCTGGAAGAACATCGAAGGGACCTGGAGTAGGGACGGAAAGAAGAGGGGTGAAAACCAAAGACGATGGTAAGAACTTTGCGAAATTTATCCGAATGTTTTCGAAGTCGTCGAAATCTTTCGGAAAACTGCATTTTCTGTAGTCCTCGAAATGAAACTATTTGAGGATTTTTTATACTAAGTATTTTGAGATAGAATAAATATATGAAAATCATATATTTTGAACTGCGGTATTTGATACGTATGATGCACGATCCTACGTATCAAATATCCTAGGTCAGTGGTTCGAGTCCCGTACAGGCCTGATTTTTTTCAGGTCTGATTTTCGCTATTGCTTAAATAGCGCTATCTACTGCGAGGATCGTGCATCATACGTACTACGTATTTTATTCTATGCAGGCTTCCCGTGGGCTGATAATCAATGGAACGGTTGACTCCGATAAAAGTTTTAATCATAAATTTGAAATACAGGGAAAAAAATTTAAAGATGACTTCAAAAAAACAGATAAATCAGTTGCTCATTACAGATTCCATCAAAGACCTGAATTCTTTCTAGTGACTAGTTTCTCGCCTTTTTTCGGTGATTACTCGCTTATTTCTAATCATGAACTCACAGCTTTCAAAAGAATGCCAAAGGTTCCAAAATCGATTCAGAGAATGAGTCGTGTTAATAAGAAATCGTAATAATCAAACGGTAAATTTTCAGCAATCTTACGAGAGGCCACCTGATGCTATGGCAAAGTGGGGCACCTTCAACTTTATTTGATAAGAACTGATGATAATTTCATTCTATTTTTACGAGTCCAACCCATATTAAACTAAATCCAGCCAAGTAATAAACTTGGATAACATGAATTGTTTTCTGGTATTTCTACAGTTCCTTCAGAGGCACCGTACAAAATACAGCTTCACACGGTGAACGCAACCACTTTAAATGCTACTTGGCGAGATGTGCGTTTGATTCACCAAAATGGCGTTATTCTGGGTTACCGTGTTCGCTTTCAGCATGCAGATGACGGTCCTCTGTTGTGGAACATGACCACTGGACCAGACGTCCATGATTTCCTTTTCACTGATCTTTTGATCTTCCAGAATTATTCAGTACAGATGCAGGCTTTCGCCGGAAAAGGTGATGGACCGTGGAGTAACAAAGTGTACCAGTTGACGGATGAATCAAGTAAGTGAAATAGCAGAAGATATGGCCTCTCCATGCAATATTACAACATTGCTAACAAATGAGTGATATAAATAAGGAGAGATGCCTTGAAGAGGCAAATGAAGGACGATAATTAGCAGTCGGATCTCTGCACTCTCTTGTGAACTACATTAGAAGTGATTTGGCTACGCTCTAAGAATCTTTTATGCTTTTTAAATTATCGTGAAGTCTTTGTGCGAGTCTTGTGAGCCTTGTTTTTTCCTGCGATGCAAGACCGCACGTTTCGTCTCGCTCTTAGGCGATTTATCCTTGACTGTTATAATTAATTCTTTGACGATAATCGCCACTGCTAGTCGTGTTTGAGTTTGTCTATTTGCCTTGTCCCTCAAGCTCGCACATGCCAACCGATAGGAGATTTAAGAGCGTGTGCTTAGGGCTAAATTAGGTATCCAGAAAAGAGTGATGGTCGGCCCGAATAAAGGTTCTTTGTGATCCTGGTGCCTCCTCCTTGCGCGTGGTATTCGAGCTAGTTTATCCCAACGGTCCAACAATCAGTATTTTTAACCTGGACGTGCTTTTGGTACCTTAAGTCTAAGTTTACACTAGAGGAAATTGTTCCGGATTCGTGATGAATCCGAAACGTTTTAGTACCGGATTGACTCTACCGTTTACACGAAAGTGGACGAATCCGAAATCAAAACTTCCCGGTTTGGTCGTGTCTCCGGAGATTTTGAATACGCAATTTAGACTAGGTTTACACTAGCGGAAATTGTTCCGGATTCGTGATGAATCCGAAACGTTTTAGTACCGGATTGATTCTGCCGTTTACACGAAAGTGGACGAATCCGAAATAAAAACTTTCCGGTTTGGTCGTGTCTCCGGAGATTTTGAATCCGCAATTTAAAGTGGGAACTTTGAATCCGATAACTTTTGAATCCGGAAAGTTTTGTCGTGTAACCGCTTTTTTTCTCGAATCCGGATATTATTTCCGCCTGCAATCTTTTGAGTTTGCGGTGAAACCAAAATGGATCTGGTGCTAACATTGCTGG